GACATTTCTGGGGTTAGCAGTCCAGTGCTTATCCTCTAGTGCCATACCGGAATTCACTATAGACTATAATATAAACATATGAACTTGGAAACAACAACAACAAAAAATCTTTCACTTGATTTATTGCAATGTTCACTTTATTGCCTTGGTCTGGAACCAGCATACCTCTAAGCTATGCCTGTAAATAATACAGTGTCAAAAGAATAAAAATAACAAAAATAATCATATGTATTTAGACAAGGTATAAACCAAATTTGAAGAGTTGAAACTTTTCTAGCAAGTATCTAATTCTTGTTATCAGTATATTTAGTCATTGAAACCTCAATAAGGAAGTAAGAAACATTACTAAATACTGAGTGGTAATTTTATTGCCCTTGGATTAATTAAAATTCTTGTGAAAATACCAAAAGAACATGAGCATTTTCAGCAGAAATATCAGCAACTTTATATATCAGTGACAGACAGTGAGAAAGACAGAGAGGAAAGTCATGTCCAGATAGACTAGCGATGGGGAGATATTTTAATCTCCAGTTGATGTCTGTGACATATTAATGATATATTTAGATTTAGATGATGTAATTTTCAGCACCTACTACTTTTGTCATTTAAATTTAGGGGATTCCTTTTGTCAACAAATAAAGTTTTATAGTAATTATAACTGTAAAGAAGGACGGATTATTTTCCCTTCGGTTCAGAAGGGGCACCAATGTAAATCTTGTCCAGAAACTAGAAATTTAAGTAAATTATTTTCATTGCACTGAAGTTCAACATGTCAATAGACAAGGAAACAAAGGATAATATGCCCTTTGTATATATGGGAAAATGACAGGCTTACCTTTACTTACCATTATGCAGAAGTGAAGAGGGAAATCTTAACATTAAGAATACAACAAAGCCTAATACAATATTCAGCAATGCGGTGTTTCAGGATAAGCACTGTTCTGCTGTTGACTACAGGATCAGAAATTCCAACCCACCAGTCATTCCAACTTACAACGCTATAAGTTGGAATTGACTCAACAGTACTTAACAACAATATACTAATTAAGATAAGAGAAAAGGTTTACCTGCTAAAATTTTACTACAGGAAGTAGAAGTGAATTACATAAAGAACGTCTCAGTGATATTTAAGAAAATTTAAAAACATGAAAATTAGATAATAAGAAAAATTACTGTGATAAAAATCAGTTGGCTCTGATTTAGGACCAGCATTAAAACCATTGCTATTGGTGGTGTTCAGTGCTGTCAAGTTGGTTTTGACTCATATTGACCCTAAACACAACAGAAACAAACATTTCCTGGTCACACATCACCCTCACAATTATTTTTAAGTTGAGCCCATTGTTACTGCCATTGTGTGAATACATTTTGTTTGGAGGGCTTCCTCTTTTTCACTGATCCTCCACTTTACCAAGCATGGTGTCCTTCTCTGGGGGATGATCCCTCCTGACCACACGTCCAAAGGACAAGAGACCAATTCTTGCTATCCTCACTTCCAAGGAGCATTCTGGCTGTACTTCTGAGACAGATTTGTTTGTTCTTCTGAAGTTCATGCTACTTTAAATATTCTTCACAACACCATAATTCATTTGTATCAGTATTCATTTATATCAATGCTGTCTTCCCTTTTTCATTGGAGCTGGTGGTATAGTATTTATGTGTTGGACTGCTAACCACAAGTTCAGCACTTTGAATTTACCAGTCACTTGGCAGATAAAGAGGAGGTTTTCTGTGCCCGTAAAGATTTACTACCTCAAAAAACTTATACAGGGTTATTATCAGTCAGAACCAAATGGACAGCACACCACCACCACCACCACTTTACTCACTGTCCAGAGTTCACATGCCTGAAGCCACTGAAAATACCTGGGTCTGCTGCACTTTAGTCCTCAAATTGACATCCTTGCTTATGAACACTTGAAAGAGGTATTTTGCAACAGATTTTCCTATTTTTTTTTTTCTTGACTTCTTCTTTTCATTAATGTTGATTGTGGGTCCAAACAAAATGAAGTCTTTGACAACTTTAATCCCTTCTTCATTTATCAAAATGTTACTTATTGGTCCAGCTGTGAAGATTTACATTTTCTTTACATTAAGATGCAGTTTATATTGAAGGCATTCATCTTCATAATAAATATGTTAAGTCCTATTCACTTTCAGAAAGCAAGTTTGTGTCATCTGCATATCAAAGGTTGTTAATAACGCTTCCTCCCATCCTGATGCCAAGTTTTTCATATAATCCAATTCCTGAATTATTGCTCAGTTTACAGATTGAGTAAGTGTGGTGAAAGGATACAACCCTGATGCATACCTTTCCTGATTTTAAACATTCAGTATCCTCTTGTTCTCTCCTTTACTGATTTTAAACCATCGACTGTTGACTTGTTCAGTTTGAACGACTGACTCTTGGTCTCTGTACAGGTTCCTCATGAGCCCAATTCAGTGTTCTGGAATACCCATTATTCTCAATGTTATCCATAGTTATGATCCACACAGTTGACTACCTTTTAAAACTTACAGTATGGCTTTGTATGCTGTCGAGTTGTAAGATTGTGACTAAAGATATACTTCACAATAATCCTGCCTTATTAACATATAGAGGTTAGAATTTGAAACACATAGCACTGGAAGATCAAAAAATGGAAGACAACTACACAGTAGTTAGAATCATGGCCTAGCCAACTTAACAAATATTTCTGAGGTATACAATTTAGTCCATTATGTTATTGGTTTTAGCTCAATATTTTCAAGTTCCTTTTAAAAATTTTACACATGGTGCTTAGATTTAATGGGGTGAATATTTGGTTAAGAACTTTTGGAGAACATGGTGGTTGGAACTTGAAAACTCTAAAAGATGTTTCAAAATAATAGTTTTGGAAAAATTACTTTGCATTTAATAAGTTTGTCATCTATGCTGATATTTGCCATCCATATGGTGTGGCATCCTGATGTGGTGCTGTGGGTTAATGTGCCAGACTGCAAAGGCGTTTGAACTTCAAATTTGGGAGTTCAAGCTCTCCAGCTGCTCCTCTGAAACCCTATACAGGGTCACTATGGGTTGTAATTGACTCTACAGCACTTAATAACAACAATGCTGTGGTGCTGTGGGTTAGTGTGCTGGACTGTAAAGTCAGTTTGAACTGCAATGTCGGTGGTTCACGCTCACCAGTCGCTCCTTGGAAACCCTATACAGGGTCACTATGGGTCAGAATAGACTCAACGGCACTTAAAAACAACCTCTAACAGCTGTAGTTTTGTTTTTTTTTTTCCACAAAGGAAGCCATCCAGGTTAAGTGCAATATTGAGAGTTAATTAAGATAAATAACAGCAAAGAATATTAATAGTGTGGGTTTTGCTTGTGTATGTGTATTTCTAATGTAATGATATCATGTTTGGTAAGGTGGAGGGTCAGAGAAAAAGACGAAGATCCCCAACAAGATGGATTGGCTAAGTGGCAGCATCGATGGACTCAAGTGTGGCAATAGTAGTGAGGTTGGCCCAGAATTGGGCAGTGTTTCGTTCTGCTGTGCATAAGGTTGCTATGGGTCGGTACCGACTCTATGACACCTAACAACAACAATGTAATGAAAGCTATACTACTTTCAATATTTCACCAACACCATAAGAAGAATGGAGTGATTTTAGGATGATCAGAAATGTGCTTTTGTTTTATATGCCATTATTTATTTTGCCTAGACATTTTCAGAATTTTAATATTTTAGTTAGATTAAGATAAGATTTATAAAATATATATGTCTGTTTAAAATAATATTTACTGCATTTCTTTTATATTACATAGACTGTGTATTTAAATGTTTGATGCTTATAATAAGTGATTCTCTTTTTAATTTGCCTAAAAGTTGTTGTGACATAATTCTAGGTAGTAATTGTATAATTGTACGGTGTAATCAAGAATTTTCAGATTGTAATTATAAAAATGACAACACATATATTTTCACTATACTGTGAGAAATAAAGTAATTACATAAATACCCAATAATGAATGAAAATCTCAACACATTTTGAAAAAAGTTCATTACATATATATGTAAATGTATTTTACAATCAATCTTTTTTTCCCCCCTATATTAGCTGTCTTCATAAAGTTTGTGAAAAAATCCCATTATCTTTTAGTATCATTTTCATGAACTTTTGAAACATCCTCATATTTGTCTTGTCATTTGCTCTATATTTTTGTCATTAGCATAGTGTATAAAACTATATTTGACTCATGTTAGATGTTCATCTAATATTAGTCCTGCATCCCAGTTTCCTTACCTCTCCTTACTGGTTTCCAATATAACTTTCCTTACTCTTCCTAATATTTATAAATACAAAGTTCAAGCAACACAGTGATCAAGCCAATAATTATGCGAAGGAGTTCATTTACATTGCTGAAAGAATTCATCAGTAAAATGCTTCATTTTTAATACTTCTGTAAAAGTACAAGTTATATTCTCTAACCTTGTAAAATTCCTATTTTCTTTTAACAATTTAATGCATCATTACTTTCTAAATGTCTTTTCAATAAGCTTAGCAAAAGAAACTTCTATTGATATCAAATTGCATCATATAAGATTAATGTAATTTCAAAGTCCTTTGCCCAAACTTTATTTAACATTCTCAAGAAACTATTAAAGTAAAAAAAAAAAAAAAAAGTTTATTCCAAGATGCCTGTTTTGAATGAAGCAGATGATTGAAGGAGGGAAGTATTGTGTACCAAGGGTAACTACTACGCTACCAGAGCTCCTTTCCTGTAGAGTAGGCACTCTAAATTTGGACTTCTAGCCTTCTAATCTTCAGAGAAAAAACATTTCTGTTATAGTACCACTAGATAACTAAGAATAGTCTTGGTGTGGCTCTTTAGGATAGGCACTGGGTGGCTAAATGCAAAATTGGTGTTTCAAACCCACCCTGGTAGTACAGTGGTTATGAATCAGGCTGTGAACCTCAGGGTCTCAGGGTCAGTGGTTCAAAACTACCATCTGTTCCATGGAAGAAAGATGAAGCTTTCTATTTCCGTAAAGATTTACTGCCTCAGAAACCTTGTACAGGGTCGCTATGAGTTGGAATCAACTCCACGGCACATAACAACAACAACGTCTCCTTAGAAACATTATATAAGGCCACTAGAAGTCCAAACTGAGAGCACCAGTTCTGGAGAAAAGTCTTTATTTCCTTTTATCATCTATAGACCCAGCATCCCTGGAGATTTCTTTGTATCTTGGCATCCATCTTTCCCTGGACCTAGGAGCTTCACAATGCCGGGGCTACAGGTCCAAAGGATACCCTCTACTCCCAACTCTTCTTTCATGGTGAGAGTAGGTCCCTCTGAGCTCCAAAAAGAGATTTACTCAAGATACAACCTAATCCTGTAGATTGCATCAGGAATCACTAATGTCATGGTATTTGTAATGGTGTGCTGTTGAGTCAGTTCCAGCTAATAGCAACCATATATAAGGTTACTGAGGCTGTAAATCTTATGGGAGCAGAAACATGTACTCTCTAACCTTCACTCAATTCATAGTAAAAGGTTTCAAAACAAATTTCAAACATAGGAAAAAACAAAACAAAAGCCAAACAGGAATTGTGTTTAAGGTTCAACTTTTTCCATATTAAGCTGTGTTTTCTACACACTGTAAATATTTCAATGAAACAAAAAGTGAAGAGGAAGTTGAAACACAACACTTTTTTTTTTTGTTTGTTTCTAACAGTCATTTGGTTAACCACAAAGCAAAATAAGAAGGAACTGAAGCAATCCTAAGGGTTTGTTTCAACTCTCTGCATTTGAAGAAATAGCTTGTCATTGGCTTAGAATGTACTAATATTTACATGAGAAGGAGATACATTTTTTTCTGTTTTATTAACAGTTATTTTCCTCTCTCTTTTTCTCTTTCACAGACCCACATTTTGCTGGTATGATTTTGTACTTAAAAAAAATGAAGAAGTATTTCTCAGGCCAAGTACATGCACGTCAGAGAAAACGTAACTACAATGCTTTCTTTTATCAAATATCACAACTGGATTTGTTTGAGAATTAAAGAAGTTTTAAAAGGAAAGAATGAATCATTTCTTTATTTTAGAATAAATCAGTCTGGGATTTAGATATTTCTACTCTCTTAAATAAGGAGCTCTGGTAGCGTAGTGGTTACGAATCGGGCTGCGAACCTTAAGGTCAGCGGTTCGAAACTACCAGTCGCTCCGCGGGAGAAAGATGAGGCTTTCTACTCCCCTAAAGATTTACACCCTCGGAAACCCTGTACAGGGTCGCTATGGGTAGGACCCGACTCGATGGCACTTAACAACAACAACAACAACTCTCTTAAATACATTTATAAGAATATAAAAAATAAAATGTATAAAGCATTCTGATATACTTTAAAAGTTGCTTCTATCTTGACCAGAGTCCTGCTGTAAAAATGTAGGATAAGCACAGGACTGCTAACCACAATGTTGATGGTTCAAACTCATCAGCTGCTCCTTGTAAACCCTATTCAGGGTTGCTATGAGTCGAAACCCACTTGGCACCTAACAACAGCTATAACTATGTTGGTTGGATTTTCTTTTATTTTTAAATTTTTATATTTTTTATTTGGTGAATTTGCTCGGATGAATATAAATTTCATAAACATAAACACCAAATAAGTTGCCCTTTATACACCTTCTGCTAAAATATCTACTTGGCAGTCTGATACGTGCTTCCTACATTATGTTTCTATGGAGCATGATAACCTTAACGTATGTAATGTTGAAGGTCAAATCCTAACCCCACCACTTATTAATGGTGTGTTTCTGAGTAAGTTAATTTACTTCATCAAGTATCAGTTGCTCAAAGAGATTTTGTTAAGATTGATTCAATAAAGCACTTTGAATACTCTCTGGGAAGAATGATAATAATAAAAATAATGATAGCTAACACACTTGAGAGTATAATACAGGGCCTGGAAATCTTTCATTCTGTTTTAGTCTAACATGGGGTCTCTATGATTTGGAGCCAACTCAACAGCAATTAACGTGGCATTGCAGGATAAAGCGATGGATCACAAAGTCAGTTTGAGCTGCAAGGTCAGTCGTTCAAATTCACCAGCTGCTCCTCAGAAACCCTATACAGGATTGCTATGAGTCAGAAGTGACTCAACAGCACTTGACAACAACAGCAACACTGACAAAGTTAAAAAAAAGCTTTGTACATGTTAACTCACTAATTCTTACAAAAATTTATAATTATTTTCTATACTCATGAAGAACCTCAGGCATGAAGAGGTTAATTAATCAAGGATCATAAACACAAACCCCAGATTATGTCTCCAGAGTACATCTTGTTAAACTAGGTTATGTGTTTCTCCAGAGTTAATTATAACAGATGTCTTTAGCTGTATTTACAATTGATCACATCCATATAACTATTTGAATGTCCTTAGCTTTCTTCTACTTACCTGTTCAGTCCAGGTATTTCTGGGCCTGAGATCTCTCTATTATATCTGTGAATTTCCAAGGTTGGTGTTATGGTTTCTAAACCATTCTGTTTACAAAAGTCACATTCTCTATACTCCTAATGTTCTATCATGATCCTCTGCCCTCACAATCGTCTTTTGCCTAATAAACAACTGGAAGGTGATTTTAGCCCATTGTTGGTGCCTATGCTGAAAATGGAGTCCTGGTGTGGTGATGCAATAATGTGCTGGACCACAACGGCAGTTTGAGCTGCAAGATCAGTGGTTCAATTCCACCAGCCACTTCTCAGAAACCCTATACTAGGTCGTTAAGAGTCAGAACAGATTCAAGGCAGTTAACAATACCATGTTGAAAACATTACCATCTGAAGGCCCTTAGATCCGTGCTCCGGGCAGAAATAAGGAGAAGCCTTTTCACTTCCCTCCCTAGGGATTACAGTGGTGCTACTTTTGCCTCTATTGTTTTACAGAGTCCTTTGTGGGAGAAGCAATTTCTGTTTTTGCTCCCGGGCTTTTCTCTCAAGTTTACCTCTTAATGCCACACAGCCATCATTCCTTTCCTTTTGGCCAGTTAGCCATCTCCTGATCAAATTTCCACATTTTTAAAAAACGGAAACATTTATGTAACTTCACTCTTCCAGTACTCACTATTAGTTTGTCAGATATTACCAGAAACGTTTGAAATTTGGTTTGTGACATTACAAGTAAATCTAATGCACCATATGTATGTTATGAGAGCTAAGAATCTTGCTCCAGTATTCCTGATTCCTTAAAGCATTTGGATAACACAGAGAAGGGAAAATCAACTTGTCTCATAGAATATTAAAGAATTATATGATCCTCATTATGAACTTATACTGGCATAGGCAATACTACTGTCTAAGGATAACTCAAAGATGTAAACTGACAGAATGTTTATAGCTTTTCGTATTACAATATTTTCTCTGGTATTCTAATTTCTTCAGTATTTTTTAAGGTAAAGGGAAATAGCAAATGCCAGGGGAGAAACATCTGATGTTTCTCTTAAAAGTGGTGTGGGAGGTAATCTCCTTTGACTCTCAACTGATACTTTTAGTAATATTAACTTTTTTTTTTCTAAATATGTGGCTATCTTAGATCAAAATTAGAAACATAGTGGGAGAAAATGCACTCCTCAGAGTACAATAATGAATCACAGCTTTTCCATAGCAATTTTCTGGAACAACAAAAAGAACAAATAGCCATAATGCACAAGATAGGTTACGCAAGGGTGCCTTGAAGACATAATGTTCTGGATCAGACACAGAGCAGAGGGAAGATGTTTTTAAGGTCTTTACCACTTCACAAAGCCTATATAAGACAGACCTTAAAATGCAAGTTAACATTGTTTTTCAAAGCCCTCTCAACATGGTAGTTTGAAACTTCTTTGGTTAATTTTAGGGTTTATCTATATCTTGTATTATCTATTTTCTTGGTGTTTCTTCTTTGTGTTTCCATTTAAGTACTAACTTTTTTTTTTTTTTAAACAACAAATCACTACTATTTGTGGTGATAACAGAATGGTTAACTGAAATACAGTAACACAATTAAAAGTCAACCAGATTTGGTATATTAATAAACTGCATTATCAAAATAGGTTTCATTGTTACTCTAATTTACTGGATGATTACTTTTGTGTGTACTTTTGTTGCCAATATGTTGTTATTGTTAAATGATGTCATGTCTGTTCTGACTCATAGTGACCCTGTATAGTTTCCAAAGAGTGGCGGGTGAGTTTGAACCACTAAATTGAGGTTCAAACCAACCTTGTGATTGAGTGCTTATCTTACAACACTACACCAGTATAGGTGAAGTATAATTATGTAAGTGTACTTACAATAAGTTAAATTCATAAAAGGATATTGGTGGGTCATAACACCTATGGTTTATGCTTACTGAAAGTGAAGAGGACTTAAAACATTTACTGGAGATCAAAGAGCACAACCTTCGGTAAGGATTACATCTCAATGTAAAGAAAACAAAAAGCCTCACCACTGGACCAATAAACAACATTCTTATCAATGGAGAAAATATTGACGTTGTCAAAGACTTCATTCTTCTTGGATCAACTATCAACACTCATGGAAGCAGTAGTCAAGAAATCAAACGACATATTGCATTAGGCAAATCTGCTGCACAAGACCTTTTTCAAGTGTTGAAGAGCAAAGATGTCAACTTGAAGACTAAGGTGCGTCTGACCCAAGCTGTGGTATTTTCAATAACCTCATATGCATGTGAAAGTTGGACAGTAAGGAAGGAAGACCATAGAAGAATTGATGCTCTTGAGTTATGGTGTTGGAGGAGAATATTGAAAGTGCCATGGGCTGCCAAAAGAACCAATAGATCTGTATTGGAAGAAGTGCAGCCAGACTGTTCCTGGGAGGCCAGGATTGCCAAACTTCGTCTCTCATACTTTGGACATATTGTCAGGAGGGACCAGTCACTGGAGAAGAGTCTCATGTTTGGTAAGGTGGAGTTTCAAAGAAAAAGAAGAAGACTCCCAATGAGATGGATTGGCCAAGTGACAGCATCGATGGAGTCAAACCTGGCAATGATAGTGAGGTTGGCCCAGGATCAGGCAGTGTTTCGTTCTGCTGTACATAGGGTTGCTGTGAGTCCATACTGACTCTATGGCACCTAATTACAACAACAAACATCTATGGTTTAGAAATTAGTTCTGCTTTCCCACATTTTTACAATTGTAATATAATACAAATTTAATGAACACTTACTGCATTGATGGTCTTCCCATGCAATATTTCAATCCTGATAAATTTCCTATTATTTATGTGTTTTTATTGCCCTCAATGATGGAGGACAGAAAAAGAGAAAACATTCCTTTGGAAGACTGACAATACTTGCAAGATGAATGTTTTGCGTTTTGTTGTGTTTTGATTGTTGCACGTTAAATACACAGTTTGCATTCTGTAAATGTTTTGGGCACAAATAAATGGATGCTAGAAGTTACGTCTTTGGAAAAGAAACATAAGTCAGAAAGATGAGTCTGGCTCTGAGAAACTGATGTAGTTGGGGAATGCCTATCTACTGACATGAAGTTGCTGAGTGCGAATATGTTGGTGCTGGTTTCCTGGGGTGATCTTTTAGGATCTTAATTCCTGGGTTCTACCTCTCCTATTTGTGTGATAAATAAAGCTGTCTTTGAACATCCAGGGACAACTTTGGAAGTCTATAAAATCTAGGACTTCAAAATACATATAATGTTTTCATTCATTTTTTTTCCCTCTGTGAGGTTTGAAAAGAAGACAATCTGGGAGGCTAACAGCTGGTAATACAGATGGTGTTGATAAATTGAATTTGGATTTTAATATCATGGCTTCAGTTTCTGGAATACTAGGATCTTGGTTACTGGTAGAATTATATCTTACAGGGACACGGAAGAATGTATTTGCATGCAGGCTAGCAGTCATGACTAAAGTGTTTTAAATGGAACATAATATTGCAGAAAATGTCCCAAGCTTCAAAGAAACAACCACCCAGATTCAAATGGACTTCCATG